GCTGACCCGCTCTCACCCCCCACCCCCGTGTGCTTAGATAGACCTGGAGTTGTGGACACTAGGAAGCCTGGGATGGGGAAGCAGGGGAGAGGCCGCAGACCCCGCAGGGCTGATCTGTCCTGACCAAGGCGCTGCTTCTCAATGTCTGTGCCGCCCAGAGTTTTCGACTCAAAGTTTTTCTGGCTTTCTCCCAATTAGAAGAGAGAAAGTACTCTTAACTGAGGTTTAAAATAAAAAACCTTCCTTCTTTCCTTCCCTCCAAATCTGTCTAAAGTTGACCCCAGGTGGAGCTCCCTGGGACAGCTGGAGAAACGCGAGAGTTTTGAAGTGTGCTTCTCTCTCCCTCAACTGCCTTTTCATCTAGCCCCTCACCCCGTCCCCATCCACGGCTGGAGAGGAGCTGGGTGGAGTGGTGGGTAGGGGCACTTCCTCCCTGTACTCCCCACACTCTTAAGATTCCCAGGGCCTCCTTGTTTGAGTCACCATCCTAAAATGCGCTCTCCTCCCCACAGCCGGGTAGGTGGAGGAACTGGACTGGGGGCTCCTCGGTGGAAGAGATAGCCTCCCCTTCTAGGAGATAAAGAGGGCTGGCCAGGGAGGGGTGGCTACTGCCCTGGTCGGTGATGGACAATGGCCCGGGGCTCAGTGCACGGCCCTGGCCCTGCCCCTTCACTTCCGGTGCTCAGTTCAAACTGGACAATGCCAGCTCCGGCCAGTTCCCCTCCCCCACCACTACAACCAATTTAAAGGGACAGAGCCTGCTTTCGGAGGCATCCGCTTGCTCTGAATAAAAGCTTCTCCAAGTGTGCAGAACCTCTCGAGCTTCTCACGCTGCAGCTGCGTGTGTGTGTGTGTGTGTGTGTGTGTGTGGCGTGTGCGCACGCGCGCGTGCAATGTGTATTTGAGAGAGACGGGATGAATGGGGGTAGGGAAAGGGAAGATGAGGAGGAGAGCAAAAGATTGGAGAAATTATGTTCTTTTCTTTGTTACGGAGTGTTCTTCAAGAAAGTAAAAGTTGAATGTAAGGAATCGGAGATAAAATTTGGGGGGAGGGAATAAAAAGGACGACTGTGGCCTTTTGCTACTTGGCCTAAAATTATATATATATATTAGAGTGCCCCACTCCCAACTGAGGACTCTAATTTAGATTTTTCAGTTATCTGAGCACCTCAACCAAAGTCATTTTTATTTACGTAATCTTTCCCACCCAGGAGTCTTATCTCCCCCGTCAGCAGCGCCCTTAAAATATATTCGCTCCTTTTACCTCTCTTCCTAAGATCCAGGAACAGGTGGCTGAGATCCAGCTGAAGAATAGAGAGGGTAAAAGGAGTCTGGCTTCGCTTGATAGGTTCTCAAGTGATGTTCGGTTCCCCAGGCAGGCGCTACCGGATTCTCTGTCCAGGGTGCTGAGGGCACCGGGAGCGCTGTCCGCGGTGCTGAATCAGGCCGTACTTTGAGAATGCCTTCTTGAGTTCCGACCTCCAAGTCCTTCCAAAAAAACTGACTTTCCTCAACCTCTGTCCCCCGGTAACACTGACACACTTGAGACAAATAAAGAGATTTTTTTGAGCACTAAAGAGAAGGCATTTCCAATAGTACATGATTCTGTGAGAGTAGTCCAGGTATCTCAAGTTCCTCTTCAGAAAAATAGGTAGAACTACTAATTTGCTGTAGAAGGCGAGGAAAGAGGAGATAAAACTTTTTGTGCCGGGAGATAGAGCTACTAATTTGCTGTAGAAGGCGAGGAAAGAGGAGATAAAACTTTTGTTTTCCCTTCCACTTGGGAACTTTTTTGTCTTCTTAATAAACTCCTGCTTTCTCACCGAAATAGATAGATAGATAGATAGATAGATAGATAGATAGATAGATAGATAGATAGATAGATATAGATATAGATATAGTGTGTGTGTGTGTGTGTGTGTGTGTGTGTGTGTGTGTGCGCGCGCGCCAAAGAAAATCAGAATAGGAGAGAGACTAATCTCTGTTTTCCAATTGTTTTCTTCATTATTAACACTTTTCATATGGGTACAAGCGTTGGAGTCAGATTACCCTTGTTTGAATGTTAGCTCTACTATTTACAGCTCTGTGACCTGGGACAATTTTCTCAACATCTATATTCCTCAGTTTCCTCAACTGTCCAGTGGAAGTAATGAGAATACTGAGCTCTCAGAGATATTGCGAGAATAAAGTTAGATCATGTAGGTAAAGTTTTTTAAATAGTGCCTGACATAGTTCTTAATAATATGAACTATTCCTATTATTATAACTAATGTGCTCGTCTCTGTGATCTTGAACAAACTGGATCATTTGCTCCCTGAGGACTGGCACCATTCATGTGTTTTTTACTTCTGCATCTTTCTCCACATCGTTCCACAGTCTGGTGCCTGACCCACAGAAGTCACCCAAGAAAAGTTTCCTGAATAGACTTTAACTGAATAATGAACATTACTAAAATAATAATAATACATAATTCTCCTAGGTTGCCTCTTTCATGTCTATCCCAGAAGAACTCAGGAGGGGTTTGGAGCCTCATTAAGTTGCATATGCGGAGGAAGAGGATGCTTTAGGAAGGACACATGGCTCCCAACATAATTAATTCCTCCTCATTCTCAATGGGTTTTTCCATGGGAGAGATGGGACTTTTGACCAAACCTTCTTCCTGCCCTGGGTCCCCATCTCAGGAAAAACATTCTTAGGTGCCTACTATGATCTACTCTTTGTGCTAGCTCACAAGTTCGGTGGAGGAATCAAATAAGCAATATGCAATAAGTAGTATGATGATGTAAAAAAGTTAAAAAAAAAAAGGAAGGAAGAAATATTCCTTGCCTTCCAATAAGCTATAGTCTAGTAAGGAAGACAAGATCTGATATAGCTAAGTATTGCAAGTTTCTTGCATACTGGTTTCTGAGAGTAATAATATCTAGATAAAGGGGAGAGAAAGGGACTCTTTAAACAAGGCAAAGGTGTCTAGTATAACACAGGTATTTTTTAAGTTCCTTTTGTATAATTTTATAAAAGGACTGGAAGGCATGTTAGTAATAGCAGTTCATTCAACAATTAATAAATATTTAGTGAGCAGGCATTGTTCTAAGTGTTGGGAATACATCAATGAGCAATACAAAAAAAAAAAATCCCTGCCTCTGTGAAGCATTCAGTAGATAATAATAATAACAGCTATTATTTATCAAGAATACAGGTACTTATCTCATTCAAGTCTGTCAATAACCCTGATGAATCAGTATTAAATCCCCACTTTACAGGAGAGAAAACTGAAACTTAATGAATCAATATGTCTTGCCTAATGTTGCTCAGCTAATATATGTCAGAGGTAGATTTGAACCCACACCTGTTTGACTCCAAAGTCCACATTGTTTCCACAGTTCCAGTATTTGTTATTATGACTAGTACTTTCACCATTTTACTGATGAGGAAAAAGATACAGGCAGGCAAAAAGGCTGTGGAATTAGACTATATATTAAATGTACCCAGTAAATATGGAACCCAGGCTTGTGATTTTTCTTCCCTGGGTCACGGCTCTAGCCTGTCATTTCTCCTCATCACCCTTCCCATAACATCTTGGCTTTCTAAACCAAAGAGCTGGCCAGAGTCAGAGCAGGTCCTCTTCTGGGTAATCATTTACCTCCCATTTCTGAAGTATTTTGAGAATTCTGTGGTGGAGTTCAGGGTGATCTTCCATGTGTAAAACCCGACCATCTGCTAACATGAATGATGGTGTATATCTGAGAAAAGTATTTCCCGCAACATGTCCCTCGAAATACTTGTTCCTTGGGATGTATCAACATATTACCACTTAAAAAACATTTCTAAAGTAAAACCATTTGGAAAATGGTATGTTAAACCTTTCCTATGCAAGAATTTTCAAAGTATGCTCTGTGATTCATCAGAAAGGGAATACAATGTTATGTTTCTACTTATTCATCTATTCATTCACTCACACACCTAACAAGTATTTATTGAACATCTACAATGTATCAGGCAGGACTGTTCAAAGCACTAGAGTTACAACAGTGAACGATACAGATAAAATCTCTGCCTAGAAGGGCTTACATTCTGGAAGAGAGAGATAAACAATAAACAATTAAGGAAAATGTACCGTGTATATAGTTTCAGTCTGGTAATTTGTTCTGTGATTGTGATCCTAAGAAAACCACCCAACTTTATCCTTTAAAGGTGAAATGAGTAAGTTGGATTAGTTGTTAGACAAATGTTTCTTCCAGTTGTGACATTCTAAAGTGATATGATTGTTTTGGTGTGCGTGTGTGTGTGTGTGGAGAGAGAGAGAGAGAGAGAGAGAGAGAGAGAGAGAGAGAGAGAGAAAGAGACATCCTAATTACACAGAGAAACAATCTGTTTTCACCCATATTGTCTTCTTCATCCCACTCCAGGGACTAGGGATTCCTGCATTGAGCAGGATCCTGCACCTCTTGCCTT